ACGATAGCCATGTGATGTGAGTATCAGTCACATGGAGGCAGTGCTTAAAAGCCTGAATTTTGCCTGAAACTCTCAGACTGAAGAAGTCTCTTAGAGGAGAGACGAAACGTTTCATTAGAGAAGAACCCGTCCAGAAGACCTACACAATTTTTTTTATTTTTCAACCTAATATTATTTTATTCACTTGATAACTTAAATAGATAAAGTATTCAGTGGTATAGGGAATGARGTGCAGTAAACTTGGGTTAAAAAGTCTGACCTGATATGAGATGAGCAGGGATGCGGTCTGTGAGGAAGTCCACCACCAGGATTCTGCTGGTGACAAACAGGACCCCTCCCTCAGTGTAAACCTGGTACCGTTCAGCACTCTGAACATCACTGGTCACTGTCCTGGGCAGGTGCGTTACACCTTCTATTTTCAACTGCTCTGTAAAATACTCCTGAGAAGAAAACARAAGACAAGTCGTTTGTTCACCTGCTCAATAAAATCCTGTGGGTCCCAACCACGGACACACATTAAACGGACAGGTTTTTTTGGTCCTGACCTGTTCAGGTGTGGTTGTGTTGAGCAGAAGGACGAGGCTGTCTTTCTCCGAGTAAACCTGCATGAACTGTAGCAGGACGCGGTCTATCCCCAGACCCTCTGCCGCCACCAGCAGCCCGTCACAACCAAAAAGACTCAGAAACATCTCGGTCTCAAACTCCAGAAGCTTCCCCGCCATCGCACAGGTCCCTAAAACTGTTTCAAAGATGCTAAAGTGGCCAAACTGGCTCTCAGTCCAGCTGCTGTCAGTCACTGAACAAAACAAATGAACTGCTTCTGTTTGGTGTTTCAAAACGGCTCACTTCCGGTGACCATAAAGGGAGACTTTAAAACGACGGAGCGCCATCGTGTGGTGAGGAAGAGTACAAGCCGGTGTAGGGCGTTTTTAACAAATAATTTATTAGGCCTCTGATAATCTATCCAACCAGAAAAGACGGATTTACTTCTAACTTGAGTGGGTAAGAAGGCATGATGTAATAAATGGTTATCTGCTGCTCGCTTGTGGCTAAACCAGACACCGCAAACTGAGCAGAGCTGTGCGGTTCAGGTGTAGCTCCGTCCATCAGAGATCCAAACCGACCTGGTTACACTTCATTCATCAAGGATGGCTGCGTTTAAATCACACAAATTGATTCAAAGTGACTGAACTCCTGTATCCACGTCTGTATTTTCAAAGTTTTTTTTCCGTATTATTTAAAAATGTGAGGGGGGTGTACTCACTATAGTCACGTGATGTAAAGGGTTTGCGTCCATTTACTTTGTGAAAGCCGAGTTTCCGGTGGTTCCTAAACGCATCTGAGGTGAAAGCAGAGATTCCCGCGTCTCGGCTAATGCTAGGTTAACGCTAGGCTTAGGCTAAAGTTAGGTATTTGAAGAAGAAAAGAAAAAGGTTAAGTGTTTTGTACATTTAGCATCTTTCCTCGTTTTGTGATTAGTAAACCTAAATTTAACCGTATTAGTATTGTATCTTGTTCTGTGAGCTTTTGTAAGTTTGGAAATTTGTAATATTTTGTTTTTGGCTAAACAAGTCGAGTTCTTTACTTTTTGACAGAACCAGATTTTCACTCTTGATTTAAAATGAAAGTTGTGGACGATCAGGTTGTTGAGGAAGAAGCAAGTTTTCAAGATGATGAGGTAAAATATATTTTCATTCCCTTCAGTAAAAGATTTTAAAAAAAGTTAATGTTAGTAAAATTGTTTCATTTTTGCCTGGTTTTAAGGTAAAGTTTGAATTCTTTCCTCATCTGTAAAGTTTACWCCAAAGTAACGATCTGTTTTTCTCCACCAGGAATCCTTCTTTCAGGACATCGACCTCCTACAGAAGCACGGGATTGTGAGTAACTGGCAGGTTTAACACATTTATCATATTAAAAAGTGATATGTACGCCGTATGTGACCATTGTAATGTCTGACAGAACATGGCAGACATCAAAAAGCTGAAATCAGTAGGTATTTGCACCGTGAAGGGGATCCAGATGACTACACGCAAAGCTCTGTGCAACATCAAGGGCTTGTCAGAGGCAAAAGTGGAAAAAATCAAGGAAGCTGCGGGGAAAATGCTGGTCAGAAAATAACTTCTGTCTTCAAATTTTGCCACTTTCTCTTTAACGTGCTTTTAGTGCTGAAGGATGTAATGTAACYCATAATTCAGAAGGTTATATTCACATTGCAGAATGTTGGTTTCCAGACGGCCTTTGAGTACAGCGCCAAGAGAAAGCAGGTGTTCCACATCACGACTGGGAGCCAGGAGTTTGAGTAAAGCTTTACAAAACAAAACAATGTTGATGTTAAAGCAATAGTTCAGATCTTTTCTGTGGGTGAACATAACCAGTATCCGATCTGTTGTAGATAGCTTTTTAAACAACCTCAGTTAGGAGAAAACAAAGTAAATTTTCATGAACGAGCTAAAGGTCTGAGCGGAGCTAAGACCAAGGTGGCTGTGTCTCAATTCAGTAATTACAGCCCACGACGCAGTGATGTAACCAACCTACGAATGTGCACTCCATGGGCTGCAACCCCTGACCTGAGACACTGCTCATACAGCAGGTAAAATAAGTATTGAACACGTCAACTTTTTTCTCAATAAATATATTACTAGAAGAGCTAATGACATGAAATTTTCACCAGATGTTGGTAACAACCCAAGTGATCCATACATACAAAGAAATCAAAAATAAATGTCCATAAATGAAGTTATTTGTAATAATGTGGAATGGCACAGGG